AGTGACCCACTCTTTAAAACCTTTGTTCCATTCGCACCCGTGGCGTGAGTCAACTTATCACGGAACTCTACTCTTAGTATCTAAAAAGAGTGGTTTTTCACTGATTTACAAATAATATCATTGATATCGGGCAAGCTCTGATAAGGTTGAACCTAAAAACGTATTCAATGTATCCTGTTTTATTTGATTTCAGTTGTCACTCCTGCGCCTGCGACTCATAGTCGCCCAAGGAAGCAATACCTAAAGTTCAAGGCAATTTGTCAAGTCTTTGGTTGAATTTTCTATCGTGCTTTTATTTATTTTTTTTGCGATTTTAGTCGTGTTTTATATTTTATTTTCTTGTATTAGACAAGATCGCGCTTTCCGTTTTTGGGAAATCCTTACCCGTTTGAACGTCAGCAGGTGCTGTAGAACTACTATCACTTCTTGGGCTAAGAATTCGGAACGGAACCCTTTCGGTAGTTTCTTCGGTTTGAACTCGCGATCGAATTAACCGAGGAGTAACGGCGTCTTCGGAGCGACGTGTTCACGACTGGCGGCCAGTGAAACGAATAATGATCCCCCATTTAGCTTGTTGGGACCGTTTGAACGCGTTCCCTCAGAATTCGAATTCCGGTAGAGACCGACCGCCTACCGACCAGCTGACGACGACCCACACAAGCGCACAAAGAACACGATCGAGCGTCTCAGCTGGTGGAGCTGAGTATCTGTGTGTGCTCGTGTGTTGGTCTTTTGTCTCTGCCTGTGTGCGTGAGTGTGTGAGTGAAATGCAAGCTTTATCAGAAGCACAGCCGAACAGCCGAACAGCCGCTGCTACTGCGCCTTGCTGTGGCTTGACGGTTACCTCTCTGTTGGCGTATATTTTGCATTGGTTATTAATGTTTTGGCGTTGTTAATTTTGTCGTTTTCCTTCGCTGATAAGAAGCTCGCTCTCTCTCTCTCTCTCTCTCACGCACACACACACACGTTCCCTCGCGAATACCTGCTAACAACACAGATACTCACCTGTCGGGCAGCTGATTGAGTTTTTGGTAGCACGATCTACCACCCGATCGCTCGGGTCACAAGTCCACATATCGAATTTCTTCGATTCTTCATTGTACTCGTATTGTACGTAATAAAATGTTTTCTTTCTGCTGTCGGATTCTTCATTTCGCTTTTATTCTGAACTCAATGGCAGCAACAACGTAGAACAATGCCCGGCTCTATCCCCGTCATGACATTATCGAGCAACTTTACAATGCGACTATACATACATACACACATATATGTATGTATATTCGAATATAGATCTCCAAGGTACCCGGAGCTTTGCTTGCCTTGACACATAGAGAGCAAAAAGTGGAAGGAGAGCAAGCATCTTGTGCTCCCCGGATCATAGCATGACCTTACCTTGTGTAGATGTACTCTTGGATCCCTCTTATATTACCATCCTTTAGTCCCTCTCAATTGATTCTTATCCAACTATTTGTCGTTCCTATGTAGCTATATCTTATGGAGCTATGTATGTAGAAACAAAAAATGTGTACAATTTGGATGGATAATCTTCAGAAACGGAAAGTTTTTGTTATAACTAATTGTATATTTCCATACAAACTTTGATTCCCATACGAGTATTTGACCTCTTTGAATGTCGATGTTTCCAAAATCCGTACTCAATGGATCTTTGTGATATGTGATATGATGATCACTTTTCAAGAGCCCTGCCCCAGCTGGAATGGTTTTTTCCGTTTTTTGTTTTGTATAGTTTGGAGAATAAACTTGATTGATAAGTATTTATTTAGCTATTATCGTAATAGTTGCCTCATTGCACGATCCATGTACCGACAGTCCGTCGCTTGTAGTACTATGATTCAATCCTCTTGTTGGACTTTAACCGTTCTCTCGACTCGAGCTACACAAAATCCGATTGATATGTTTCCGAGCTTAGTAATCGCAAAGTTGTATAGAGAATAAGAAAAAAGAAACAATATGAAATGAGATCGGGTTGAGCGCTACGTCATGGATTTTTAGACTGTAGATTGTCATTTCGAAGTTTGAGCTGGCTCCTGCGCTTCGAGCGCCGATTAGCTTAGCCCTCAGGCACTGTATGAATTTTAGGGATAATTCGGGAGAGTCCAAACTGCCAGGTTTATGGGAGTGATCGAATCTCTGGGGGAAGTCAAATATGCTATAAATAACAATTTACATAAGGGTTTGATAGGTTCAAATATTGACTAAAACACAATCTGCACGCCTGCGAACAACCAACCAACAAAACGATAAGATTACAATTTACGATCGTTCACGCCATACAGTATACTCGCATAGTCGTAAGCTATAGGAAATCGTAAATAAACCGCCTGGAAACGTATCTCTTTTGATTAAATCAAGGCAATCTCTGGCTGGCTTAGCCCACACCCCCGTCTAAATTCCCTGTTTTAGAGATTCACGGTACTCCCAGTACAAACATTTACGAATATCATTCCAGTCCCACTCTATCGTACCTGTGCTGACCATGTCGCTATCGCTGTCGTGCTGTTTTGCTAAGTAACCAAAGTCCAAACAATTGCGGCGTCTTTCAAAGCTCTTGATCGACGTCGACGGCGACGTCGACGCCAATGCGAGTACCGCCGCTTTGTCGTGGGTGATCTGCCATGGTCGTGTGCATTGCTTCTTTATAGCTTTCTCTCCGGTTCTCGCTGGACTGATTAGAACAACTGAATGACTTGTGACTTGTGCTCGGGGCAATAAAGCACGTTGTCTCCCCACATCTGATCTGAGTCGCATCGGAAGTGGTTTATGTCTTCATATTTACGAGTAATGAACCATTTTCATGGCGCTAATGGCGTGATTTTTCGTCTGCTTACGCAAAATTGATCCCTCGCATGATTTTAGAAGTTCCCTAATGACTCACCGCCAAAGACAGAGTTTCAATCCCGATTCCGACTGCTGATGGAGTGAAGATTGCTTAACAAATTTCTCACACACCTGAAATTTTGCTCAACCGGGATGAAAGACCATTATGGCTACGGTTCAGCAAGATACAGGCGCGAATGAAATATGCCAGCACACGGTAGGATGTCAAGGAAAATCTCTAAGCACCAGAGCTTGAAGGGACACTTGGATATGGAAGTAGAACCGCGACCGCAACCGCAACTATTCCTGGCAACGCTCGAAGTTGAACTGATGCACGAAGCGGACCGCCGGCCTGCAGGTAGCCTCCCACAATGCCACTTGTGATCGACCCGGAGCCGTGCGTCTATGTGAAACATTTCCCGCTGCTTCTGCTGGCCGGGGGAGTCGGCATTAGAATTAGAGACTAGGAACAAAAGGAACTACTAACGACAATGTACTGGCTGCCTCGGCGTACCGGCTGCCTCGCTGGTTGGCTGAGTGCTCGGTTGGGGTTGGTTGACTGGCTGATGGTTAGGCTGAATGAATGGGTGGGTGGGTCACTAGCGGGCAGCACTTGCAACAGCGGCGCATGCTTTCTAAGCGCCACCGTTGTGCTATGTTGCTGTTGTTGTGGGACGCACCTTACTAATACAAACCGTCAAATGGAAGCAGAACGACAGCTGACACCACCATAGAACGCGCCTTTTTAACGAGCGACGCGACCCCACCTAGAATATAGAATCCGACTAGCGGAGATGGAGATGCCACGGCCCCAGGGTCGTCATGACGTGTGTTCGGGCAGAACAGGGCTTGGACTGCCACATAATGTAGCCGTTTATCATTGGACGAACGGGCACATACTCCTAGCTGGATCCTGCCATATATCCTGCCATTTAAGTGTTATTTGAAGTTCTAAATGTGTTAATGACTTGACAAATGCATTTCCTAATTAAATTGGACTCCTGATGCAGTTACGCACTGCAGAACTGAGACATTCTAAGGGCAAGGAACCCCCAAAGGGGGTTGGAGCTCCAATCGCTGTGTATGATCGATCCACCAGAAAGTTACATGTGTAACATTTTAATGATTTTCGGTCACCCATCAGTCATCCGAATTGAAATATTACAGAAATGCTTGCATATTTGCAAATATTAAGACTTGTAAAATTAAAACTGCTAGGATATCCATACAGAGAGCACTTTAATGATTGCGAGTCCTTCGCTAGTCATGTTTATAAGTCAGTTATATTTATCCCCACTTCGTTTCCCTAGAACACACCTTCTTCCAAAGCCAATCCCTAAACGTATATGTATATGTACACATAACTGGGGGACACCACACCCACACCCAGACACGGACGTGCCACTTTTCGCGCCCCACAAGTTGCCCTTTTTCAACCCACTCCCGCAGGTTATGCCCTTTTTGCCACAGCGGCACACAGGACGAGGGAAACGGAAATAAGTAAGCGTTGAATAGTTGCGGGGATGATCTGCGGTCATTAAAAGGGCGCGTCGCTCATTAATACCAGCAAACAGACACACGAAGTAGCCAAATGTCAGCCCAATACGAATGTATACTGTAAGTCCCAACAGAACTGGGCTTGGCCGCGGTCTGTTTGCCGGACATCTGGGTCCTTCGAGTCCTAATTGAAAGTTACAAGTTAGGATTCCAAAAAAGTGTTCAGCCCTCCACGATCTCTTTTCAAAATCAACCACGAACGAAAGAAAGATTAGAAAATAGATTCAGGATTAGACGGTTCAAAGTTCTTAGATTGAACATATTCTAATGGAAAGTGGAATGACACACCTGGTTAGCCAGCAACCCAACTCCCCCTCACCTCACAGCTGTGTCGACAAACACATTGACACACTGTGCTTACAACGTTGACCATTGGCCAAGCGATTTCTATGTACAAGCCATGGTCTACATATAACATATGCGGCTGTTGCTGGGGAATTATATAACAAGCTGATCCCACACAGCGGCCAACCCAGCCGCATCTGCCTTTGTCTTGCCACATTGGCTCTGCCGGCATTAAAATCTAGGCAAGGGTGTGTTCCGGCCGGCCGTTCAACGAAATTTAGTATCAATGAGCATGGGGCTCTGCCATTTGGATTGTATGGTTCATTTAAATGCAACTATTTAATTAATTTTTTGCTCCGCCCGCAACGATTTGTTTGCACGTAATTAAATCGACTAATTGAACGCCAGTTTTTAGTACCAATTAACCGCGGGCTTGGCAATGTGTAACATTATGCCTATCAAGGTAAATCAACAATGCTTAAACTTAAACTTAAACTACGCCAACTCTGCATCTTGGGGCTGGTCTGTCTTGGAAGGATTGGTGGTCTGACTAGATGGTTGCAGCGGACCCACGGCCATGGGCAGGCGATCGCCCCAACGGCTGACTTTGGCACAGCTGTAAGCCGATCTAGAACAAGGAAACAGTATCGTGAGGCAGAGACGAACATCGGAGAAATTGGGTAGTTGGGCACTTACTTCCCGTGCTTGGCCTTCGTGAAGATGACCTCTTGCAACTTTCCCTCTTCCGTGCAAAGACGGCAAATCGCATGCTTTGACCGCACCAAGGTGGGACGTACAATACGGGGCCAAGGGCGAGAGGTGTCTGTGACGGGGCCCTTCTTCAAAATGGCATAGCTGTAGAGGGAGGTTTGGCGATCGCCGTAGTTGTCGCTGCTCAGTCGCAGTGGAGCGTATTTTACAGGGAAATTGCAGGGTGTGCGATCGGCCAGATCTTTAAGACGGGGACAGCGCAAATCGTGTGGGCACTGAGAGTGGAATTCATGGACTCAAATAAATGTTTACTGATGTCAAAAATCATTGCATAGCTTACCGGAGCAACTGTGTGGCCTTGCAGCTCCTCATCCTTGATATGCAATAGGAAACGTCTGGCGTCGTTGACCAGCTCACAGCCACGTCGTGTTCCTTCCTCCGCAATGACCATGTAGCCATCACACTTGCGCCACAGGTTGAGCAGCACCTCTTCTCGCTGCGCCTTGTCAACCATCTCGAAGAGAGTGTGCGAAATAATGACCAAATCATATTTTGTTTCAATGGCAGGCAGAAACTGGCGGTAGAACACATTTCGCAAAGATATTTGCTTGTTTTCTTGGCCATCCCGTAGGATCAGCTCGGAGAGCTCATTCATTTCCCTGGATCTGTCCACATTGTAGTACTCAAATATGTTCTCTTTCCACAGTTCGCTGGCCACCCACATGCCAGTGCCGACCCCAGAGCCAAAGTCAAAGTAGCTGCGGGGCTTAAACTGTTCATCTCTCTGGGCGAGCTCTGTGAGAACTCGCTTCAGGACAGCATACTCCTGGGCTCCTCTGGCCACCGCATAGACAATGGCTTCGTATGCTCCGTACTCGATGGGCTTCCAGGCATAGGTGCGCTGGCTCAGGCGCTTATTGATTTCCAGCTCCCGCTTGCGTTTCCAGCGATCTGCTTCCTCCTCGCTTAGCGTGGCCAAGCGTTCCAGGGACATCTTGGCATTGACCTCCTCAACGATCAGTTTCTTTTTGTTTTCGATTTCTGCCAAGGTAGGTGGGGGATGGCGGGACCTGATGTAGGAGTTCAGCATCTGGCTGTCCTGCAGGACTTTCTTGACGGGATGGTCGCCAACAATGCGCCTCAGTGTGTCGCCCAATTGCTGGGGCAGCTCAAGATGGTTGGGCTTGACGATGCCAGGATGCTTTCTCGGCTTCAATGTGGCTTGCTCCAGGCCGGAAATCACAGTTGGGTCCACATCGACGGCGATTTTACTTGTAAACCGATACAGTCGCTGCGCGACATGTCTTCTTGTGCAATTTAATGAAAATTGCATGGTTTAAACTAATATAACTGTGAAATGATGGTGCACGCGTTTGCCGGTGTTTTGTTCTGCGTACCAGTGTTGAAAAATGTCCACAGCAAACAGCTGACGGTGCAGCCACATAGATTTCGGACTAGTTCATACACACATACATGCATCCAATAAAAGCAAGTGTTAAAATTAAGCCAATCAAGTAGAAAATAGATTCATTAATTGGATGTGCTATATGTTCTACATAGCTAATAATATTAGACGGAAGATCAATAACCAGGAATATGTAAAATAGAACTTGAATTCGTCAGTATATTTACGGTATATATTGAAAGTCCGCGGTCACACTGTATATATGCGAACCTTTCGAAAATTTACTAATTGCTGACTTAAGTTGCATCAAATCGATGCCTAACATAAACAATGGATGAGTATGAAGCACAGGTGAGGGTTTCGTTTCCGCTATACGGATTTTCCTAATCACAAATCCTGTAGTTGGTGGCTGTGGAGCAGGCGCTGGAAAACACCACGGACGAGCAACAGCGGGAAGAACTATCAACGCTAAGAACGAATCTGCAAGAGCTCTTGGCCCTCACTCGAGAGACAGAAGCTGACCAAACAGCTGAACAGGGGGACATCCTGGACGATGAGTTGCTGCGGCTAAAGAGCGAACTCAATGAACTGGAGGAGGCAGCTGCCAACGTTGGCGCCACAAAAAATAAGGACGAAGAGCAACAATTAAAGGATCTGCGTGCCAAGTACAATGCCCTAGTAGGAGAAAAGTGCTCAGCTCCCCACGAGCATAGCTGGGGTGCCTTGAGCTATCACAACGCACTCATCTGTGGCGTAGACGATGAAGTAATCATCAACAGAAATTCCGAACTGGACGTCCGGTTACGCGTACTTTACATAAATCCCACACATTGCGAAATGCTACCCTGCAACTACTATCTCGAGGGAGAGTGCCGTTTCGACGAGATACGCTGCCGATATTCGCATGGCGCCTTGGTGCCCGGTGCCTCTATTAAGAGCTACATTCCCCCAGATTTTCCCAGGCTCGCTCGCAACTGCCCGGTGCTAGCCAAGATGCCAGACCGCCTGTGGCATCGCGGCCGTGTCCTATGCGCTAACTTTGTGGAGCAAACTTGCCGTGTACGCTTGGATGGACAGGACCATAAAGAACGCGAGCGCGATTTTCAATTTGAAGAACTTTTTCCACTGATTACTGAAGAGGAGGATGGTCTGACCAGCGAGGACAGCAGCTCAAGCCCACACGATGAAAGCAGTGACGAAATCGACTCGGATATGGACGATTTAGAGGCGGCACATCGATCTCGCATGGTCGAATTAAGTTTATTTACTTTTAAGCCTACTGAAAAACTAGGCGCCTGGGAGCAGTACACACGCGTAAGTATTCGAAGGTAGTTAAAGACTTGAACTAAAGGGATGATGATTAATGTCACAGGGAATAGGATCCAAGCTGATGGAGAAGATGGGGTACATTCACGGCACGGGACTGGGATCCGAAGGGCGTGGGATTGTAACGCCAGTAAGTGCTCAAATACTTCCTCAGGGACGATCTCTAGATGCTTGTATGGAGCTGCGAGAAGCCGCCAATGGAGACCAAGACTATTTTAGCGTGGAACGAAAGCTAAAGCGAGCCCAGCGCCGCCAGAACAAAGCCAATGAGAAGGCCTATGCTCGAGAGACACAGCGCACGGATGTCTTCTCGTTTCTCAATGGGAGCGTGCTAGGCGGTGGAGAGAGCCGTCATCAAGGCGATCAAGCTGCTAAGAAGGCAAAAACAAATGATCTGCAACAGCACTCTACAAAAACGCTTAATGTGGAAACGGTGCGAGTGGCCGATGACATACGACGCAAGCAAAGGGACATTGCAAAGGTAAAACAGTCCCTGGACCGTAATGCCACCGATATCCAACTGCAAAAACGGCTGCATATGCAGTTACAGAGCCAGAAGCAGGAGCTGGCCACGCTGCAGGCTCATGAGCACAGACTTAGCAAAGAGCAGCATACACGTAAGAATAAGATGTTTGAGTTTTAATAAAGTTACATATGCTCGTTTATGTTCCAATATCACCCAAGAATCGGGGATGCAACATGTACATATCTTTGTACATACATACTCGTATATGAAGAATTTTCCTAATTAAATTTTCTAAGTTTACCTACAGTTAAATACTGCCAAATGCACCCGCTGTGATTATGGCGGTCATGTACTGCTCTAGCAAAGCCTGAGCCAGATGTGATCCATGCTCCACCGCCAGGGAATAGGCTGTCTCCCCGTTCTCATTGGTTGCACTTAAGTCCAAGTCTTTGGCCAAAAGTTCATTGCAAGTATGCGGATGATTGCCGGCAGCTGCGTACATTAGAGCCGTATTTCCCACAATGTCCATGTGTGAAGAATGGGCGCCGCGCTCCAAGAGGTACCGCACGATCTCATTGTGTCCTCCGGAGGCTGCCAATAGCAGAGGAGTTACCAAGTCTGGGGCCAGGCTGTTTACATTTGCCCCAACTGATACAAGCAATTGCACTGAGACCAGTTGGCCATACGATGCGGCCCAATGGAGCGCTGTGAACCCATGAGCATCCTTGCAGTCAATGTCTTTCTGCCTTCCTAGCTCCGCAGTCACTTGCTCCTCGGTAATCTCACCCTGACCCGCGCGCTCGTGAAAGGAGAGCAACACTTCCACGGGACAAAATGTGGCTTCAGTGTTTCCTCGCTGAAGATTGGTCAAGACGGTCGACTGGGGACGATAGGGCAGAAACGCACTCTTGCGTTTAGCATCCAGCAATAGCATGGAAGTGGGCGCGGCTCGTACGGACTCATCTTCGTCGGAGTTTGTGCTATTTTGCAATGTGTTTGCTGGCGCCACCATTTGTTGTAGAATTTATTTACTGTTTGTCTCACAACCAGGTTGGATAGGATGGTTTATGCGGCAACAATGCGTGATAAACTTGTGTGCCGAATTATTTGTATCCAGAGACTATAAGTACCTCGAATAGCAATGATTGATTAATATTATATTTTTAATGCTGAAACACTATAATTCCGAAAAATAGGCAACAGTAATGTAGTTCATAGCTTGAAATAAACCAAAAAACACGATCCACTCGAACGGCATAAACGCAATTAGTCGTTGTATTATCGGTCAAATATTCCGATAGATATTTTCATTCTTTAACCAATTTTTTATGTTGTTTTTAATCCAGTTTACTTCCGAGAGAACTGTTTGAGGATGCAATTATATATTATTATTATATTATTGTAATATATACTACAAAATAGATTAAATATGCCACAAAATGGATGTTCACCTCAGCTTTGGGCTTCAAAATATACCGAAAAGTATATAATATACTGAAAACGGTCACCCTGGTTGTGTTCTGTTTGGTTTTGTTTTCGTTTCTCTTTAAAATTTTTATTTGCAATTTAATTATGTAAATTTACCAGATTTGTTAGCGATGTGTTCGTGTGTTTCGTAACAGGTTTTTATTGTGTCGCAGTGTTTTTTACTGCGAAAACGTCCCTGCACCTGTTGCGCCTAACAAGCCATTTTCAGTGCAAACCTGCGTTTCGCCTTTTTTATGCCCTTTACTTGTACCAACAGTGCTCTGAGAGAGAGAGAACTAGCTTGCAAAATTAATTGCGTCGAAGTGGACTAGACTCGCAGCACCAACGCCAATACACAAATATGGGCAATACGAGCTCAAAAGGCGAATCTGACGCCAGTGAACCACCTCTGGAAGGTGGGAAACAGAAACATCATCACAAATCCGCCACACAGTCATCGACTGCGTCGTCGTTTCACTCTCACAATGGGAGCTCAGACGGTGGCGCTGCGAATAGCGGGAGCGGCAGCAACAACAGTCTCAAGGTGCAACAACAATCGCAAACAATGACCAGATCGGCTTCTGGGGCAGATGTAACGGAAAAGTACTTGACGCAGCTGGTGCCAGTGGAGAAGTTGGCAGAGATCCTGAGGGAGCAGACGTCGGCCAAGTATGGAATTAATGGCATAGTGGCAGATGTCTTTGTGGTGAGTAATTGTCATTAACTGATAACAAGAACTCATTGATATAAGCTGTTTTCTTCCAGTCACAAGTCTTTCCACAATACACCGATCTGGGCCATCGATTGTTCCAGCTAATGCACACGTCTTCCAAGGCCACGACAAAGCACTTGGGCACAGTCGCCTTTCGCCAGCAGTGCGAGCGCTTCCTGGGCATCATGGACGATGCCAAGACTCTTGAGTGCTATATAAAGATGTACGCGCAGGAAGACAATCCAGATTTCATAGATAAGACGGGGGTAACTCGTCTTCTTCATATATGTTATACGATTGCCATGCAGCATTCTGGAAACGCAGTGCTCTGTACAGCCATCAATCGCACATTTGGCTCGGTCACCAAGTCCATATTTCTGTGCCATGACAGCCTGAGTCTTGGCTACGTGTGCCGGTGGTTTGAGCAGAACCTAATCCGGCTGGTGCTGCTCGTCCACAAGTATTGCGTGCACACGCTGTCCACCGCGTATCGCGGCCTCGAGCAACATTCACTGTCCTGCGGGATTGAGCTGCAGACTCCGGTTTTGGAGCAGCGCAATCCTTTCACTGATACAACGGATCACAGCGGAATTGGTTCTGACTTCTCGGATTCTCTGATGCCGCTTTCACAGGCCTGGCTCTTGGCTGGGGCTTTGCCTCCGCTCTATTCCAAACCACAAACCATTGCGCCTTCGCCATCTAACAAAGCCAACAACAGCGCCTCGTCAGCCGTGCAAATCTTTAAGGAGAAGCTTTCGATGATGCCGTCCCACTGGACGCTGCTGTATGATTCCAACGAGCATGGAGTGGGTGCCAACCGCTTCTTGCACCACGTTCTCGGCTATCGTGGACCAACGCTGGTCCTGCTTCATACAAAGGATGAGCAGACATACTGCGTGGCTGCACCTAGTGAATGGAAGGAGACTCACTTGTTTGTGGGCGGCGAGGGCAGCTGTGTCATCCAGCTGTTGCCCAAGTGCGTATCGAAACCGAAAGACTTTGAATTCTTGTTTAACTATGTTCCTGTTTCAGATTTGTGATACTGGAGAAGAAGCCCAATATCCTATACCTGAACACCAGCATAAGAGGTTACCCCAAGGGATTGCGGGCTGGTGCCGATCCTCGTAAGCCCATCATAGCTGTCGATGAGCATTTTGAAAATGTGGACTGCAAGGGCTTGGCCGCGGGACTCATGTCCATAGAGGTGATCATTTTTCAAGTGTATATTTTTCTGTACTTTAATCATATTCATGTACAAAAAGCCTTATTTAACACAGAATATATATGTGTATATGCATATAGTGTAAAATTCATAGACGTACATATGTATGTATATTGCATATAAACGACGTAAGTTCCAGTCTAAGCAGTTAAAAACAACACATTTCGGCATCCTACTAGTGCGCAACTGTGTTTTTACGATGCATTTCAATTAAGTCTACGTTTCTCCTTACCCAACAACAATTTACCAACAACAAGAACTACACGTTGCTCCGTTCTTTCCTTCTCTCGACAGGTGTGGGGCTGCGGCGACAAATCATCACGCGAAGTGCAATTGGACATCAAGAAATGGCAAATAAGGGAGGCCGAGAGACAGCGAACAGTCAAGCTTACAGCCGCCGACTGGATGGATCATCCGGATCGATATCTCCTCGAGTTGGGCGGCAGGCAGAACTATAACAATTAATCCAATTTCTTTCTGCTAATGCAGCTGCGTGTATACGGATACATATGGATATAATATATATATCGTATGGATGTCCAAAAGCAATTGGCGTGCCTTCCATATCGAAGCACGTCGCGTCGAAATTTACTGGGAATTTCTTATACAATTATTCACACGTAGCACGAGAAGTAATCACTGGACTGAATTTGTTTTTAATTGATGTTGATTGATATTCGGTTTTACTTGTTTTCCTTCCACTCTTTCTATCAGCGTCTAGTATTCGACTTGAGTTATGTTCGTAACGTGAATTCCGTCTATGCTTTTAAATGTATTTTATTCTTTGCCTGTACTTATAGCAGGAGTCAATCTACGTCTCTGTTTTCGTCTCCGTCAGTTCTGTTGCTATTTTACAGGTTTCTGTTTTTGTTCTAAATCTTTGTTAAAATGATAAATGCAAGTATTATGAAAAGACCTAGAAATGAAAATGCTTAAAATAAATGTTACAAACAAAATTTGTATGATTCCTGTACGGATTTTCTTCTGCTGTTTTCCACCGCTCTTATCGGCCCAAAACGAAATCAGAGTTGATAACTGTCTGTATCTTCTCGGGTAGTGGACGATAAGAAACTTTAGATAAAAAGCCTTTCTTCTGAAAAACCCCAAGGTCGACATGGCTGAAGGCCTAAGCCGGTAGAAGAGCAGTTTTATGGAAGCTAATGGGAATGCAATTCAGAAATCAGTAAGCTTGCCACAATAAGGTGAGGGGAGGAATGTGTGTATAAACAACAACTTCACACTAATCAAAATACAATTTAGGATAGCGCAAATTAAAAATCAAGAAAGTAGTATCCGATCATGGATGCAGTAAAGTGCAGTAAAATAAAAATAATGCAAATGATACAAACATAAAAGGCGGTGGCAAATATTTTCCAATATTATTATTGAGACGTATATTAGATTTACAATAACAATTTCTATTTAAATATGTATAAAGTACGCCCTTTTCTGACCGGCGGCAGTCACAAAATTCACAATCGGTTCAGGCATGTTTCAATAAACTATTTGGCCTAGCGGATATAAGTATAAAAATGTATAATTTAGGTGTTCCAGGAGTTGATTACAGGGGTTTACACTACAGCCAGCTAAGAGCTAATACCCTCATCTGTGGAATAAAGGGTGTATGCACGTATGTCGCATGCTTTCTCGGTGTAAACCATACGATTGCTATGAAAAATCCTTTGTTACTATCGAATTACAAATTAAGGCCACAATTTCAAAGACCCCATCCGATGGGGTTGCTAGAAAGGTTGCTTCGAATGAGTATTTTAAAACTAATATTTGCATTTGCCAAACCGATGACCAAATGACTAATCAACTAAATCAGAATATTGGGAAGTAATAAATATAAGAATGGGAATAACTGAAGAAGAATTAAAGTCCAATAAGTCAGTTTTCTAGGATCTAGGTGATGTACTCTCGATCGCGGCGACGCCGCGTCGTTGAGGCAACAACAACAACCGGATGCTGTTCCTCCTGTTCGTCAATATCGTCACCGTCGTCGTTGTCATCGTCTCCGTCATCGTCCTCATCCCCAGCTGTTGAATTCGACCACTCGGATTGATTACTGCACGTGGCGCTGAATTTCAAACTGCTGGACATGCCAAATGAAACGGACAGCGAGGCGCTCAGTGAAGAGGCGTTCAAATTTTGACTAACATCTACACCATCTTCGTCCTCGAACGCATCGTCGATATGCGGGTGCTGGTGCTGGTAATGATAGCGGTGTCACCTGCCCGCTCCCGCTCCCAGCAGAAGTGCATAGTCGTCGTTCGACTCGGGTATGGGGGCTGCCGATGAAGCAGCTCCAGCGACTGGTACTAGGCGCAAAAAGCTGCTCCCACCAGCCCCCACGAAATGCTGCTGCTGCTCATCGCGTTCCCGCTCGCGCTCCCGCTCTCGAAGATGCTGAGTTTCACGCTGACGCGGTGACGGCTGTGACCTCGCACCCGGCAAGTGCAGTTGTTGTTGTTGGTAGTTGTTGCTATTACTATTATCACCAGCCCCGTCTGCGCCTGCTAAAGGATATTGAGATTGGGCGTGAGTTTGATTTGGATCGGTAAGGATGTTCAGTTTCCCCACATCGACGGGCACAACCAAGCGACTTGATGTGGCCCCATACATGTTACCTGATTGAGTGGAACTGCCGGAGAGCTGCTGATCCTGCCGCTTGCTGATTAAGTACTCGGACTCACTGCTGGAGCGTCGGGGACCCCGTGCCAGGGGCTGATAGGTGCTGCGACCCTGAAAACGGCGGCTTAATGTGCTGCCCACCACGCCCAAATGCTCAGTGACATCCTCTTGCATGTCCGATATGTCCATCATGGAGAGAAAAGCACGACACCAGCTATGATTGGGATTATTCCAATACTGCGGCGAGTTAATGTGGAACGGATGGTGCGGGAAGCTGTAGATGTGAGCTACGGCAGCGATAAACATCTCAATGCAAATGAGAAAGTTCTGGCAAGAGGTTAATCACAGGTTCAAACTGATCCGCAAACATCTCACTGACTACTCACTTGCAGCATGGATGCCAGATTGGTCTCGCCCACATCTGAGCCGAATATGTCCTTGATAATGCCATAGTAAACCAGGACATTGAGAAGCACTCCTTGGCTGTGATCGAGATGATCCGAATAATAAAGCTGAATTCGAAGGATCAAGAGAGATCAACACTTACAAGAAGGAAAAGAACACCACAGCCTTGATGCACAGAAACTTAGGAATGGGCTTCATGGGCTTTAAATCCTCCTTGTTAGCACGATAGAAGAGCACCAGGCAGTACATGGCCACGAACTGGGAGATGTTGTTAACGACTATGATGTACGGAAAGGCCACATTGCCAGCGAACTCTCCCTCGCCATAGACGCCGCACAGCTCACAGATGCTACTCGACACAGGGGGCAAGAAATTCGGAACTACAGGAAGTGTAATAGGCAAGACACGAGGATTCTTTAGCACTCACACAGAAATGAATGTGGTTATGGGTCGCACGACGGTGTACTGGAGAATGCCGTGCTTGCAGTTGTGGATGAATTCGCGACCCATAATCCAGGGACGCATGCAGCAGAGGGGGAAAAAGTGATTCACCTGCGGCTTGTACACCATGGTTATCTCCAAGTCCATGTTGAGATTCAGGTAGTTAAGCAGGTAAACCATGAAGTTGTAGATTACGTACGCCTCATAGCACTCGCGCAACGAGTCCACGTAGATCGAATGTTTCGGAAAGAACAGACCAATCCACTGTGAGACAGAAAAACAGTATTAGATTTCAGATACAGGTGCGCTCAATGCTTCGACGCAGAAGCCGACTTGTGGTTTCAGTTTCTGATTCGATGCCAGTTTCGCTTTCGTCTGACCCACTTACCGCGTTCAAAGCGTAGATGGGCACCATCCACAGTATACGTATGATGTGCTTCTGCAGAATGGGCTTCGTGAAATGTATGACGTGTTGTATGATGTGCCATATTGACACAGGCACCGCCGATAGCACAAACAATCCGCCAATGAGTATCAATTGATCGTTGCGCTGGAAGCCGTCCTTCACAGAGTTCACGATGAGCAGGGGCACCACAATGATCGCGAATATACCATAGGTGACAATCAGCAGCGGGCGTATCCAGATGCGCCAATCCTCGCAGAAGTGACGTATATCCAGGCGACACATCTTTCTTTCCGGACTTCCCTCTAGAAGAGCTCTCGACGGCGATTTTTCACAGCCGAAGTTTTGCCGAGTTTTTGCTTTCGTTGTCAAACGACAAAACAACAAAGCAACAAAGCTGTTGCCGTTGCCGCCGCCGCCCTGTATCTGTTTTCGCTGGGTTGTCGTCGTCGTTGCCGTTTTTCTCGGTAATTTATATTCCCCGGATTTTGCACCCACGCAACTGATGGCTTCTGCGGCACATTTTCAGCTATATCTTCCTTGCAATGTAAAAGCTCAACGCTTTCTTTAGCTACAATATTTATTATTTGTTAGTTTTATTTCCCTTTCCACTGCAAATCAGTGTGACCGCGGATTTATCGCTAAAATATACAGTCCGACCCACAAAAATGTACCAAAATATACCGTCTCATTTTAAAAATATACCGTATGACGAACTGAAGTGCTACTATACATATTCCTCCTTAATGATATTCCGTCGAATATTACTAGCTTGATGGATCTCTCAGCCCTGCCCACATAATTGTATCCAATTAATGAACCTATTTTCTACTTGACTGATTTATTACTGGTACTCCCATTTATTGTATTTTGACTAAAACAAGGTTTAAACAAAAATGTTCAACAAAAAAACAGCCGCAATGTTGTCACGTTAATGGTTATTTACTTGAGGACAGTGTTGTAAATCGTTTAACCGTGTCGTAAACGCGATAAGTGTGAAATTCATGTAAAATTCCCCATTTACTAAATTCCCGCGGAAATTTAGAAATAAGTCCCATCCTTGTATGGTGCATGGGAATGTGTATGCAATTATTTAGTAAAGCCTTTGCCGACATGCAAACCGAACTCTGCAGAACAACTAGCCCACGAGACAAGCTAGGTCATCTGGATACATATACATACTTTCATATTGTGGTTATTATAATTTATTGTAATATTATAATTGTATTAAACAATAATACTTAGATTAAATGATATTGGGCCAGAAAATAAACAAATTACATTATACATATATTGGGGCGTGTTCAAAATGTACACACAACATGCCTGATTCTCCAGCGTACGGCCAAGTCCGGCTTTTCATTGTTTTCATTATTTTTCAATTTAATTATAATTCCAATTGGCAGCGCCCATCGTAGTCATATACACACAGATTAGATTAAATTTAGGTTTAAAAGGAAAGTTAAAAATAATGCATTTCGTTATGCATCTAGTAGAAACAGAATTATTCAATTTCTTCATTTCTACATTTAGAAGAAACACTGAATTCTTCATTTTCTTTCGATTACGATTACGAAAAAAAAGCTACATTATCCAGCGATTCCCGCTGTGTAATTAATTGTTGTGATGATGCAAAAACAATATCGCGTCGATTTGGTTTCCGGTGAGCATGGAACGCTTATTGAAATCATTAATCTGCTCTCGCAAAGGCTTCTTGAAGCTTAGGGTCACCACGCCGGGCACACTCTGATATAAGGTGGCGAGATCGCGCAGCGTTGCATAAATATGTCCCATTTTGAGCCACCACTCAATGGGGGACTCATCCAACTGAACGATTACCTCGTTACGGTAACGTTTCAAATCAGTTTCCACAGTGCAGTCGGCATCCCGCTTGGGTGGGTTTGGAATCTCGGCAACATCAAACAAAAGTTCCAGCTCTATAGAATGGTTCGTAATTATGAACTGGCGGTCCAAAGATGCACATTCTTCCAATACTTACTCGACTTCTTAGCATTACTGCCAGCTGAGCTATTTCTTGGTTCTGCCTTGATGGTAACCGTTGGCGAAGTGTTCACGGAGGTAGTAGCCGCCACTTCTGTTGGGTCGCCGCTCGATCCGCCGAACGTTTTGTTGTATTTCTGGGTCAGCATACGGACACACCTGTCCAGGTTCTCAATGGTGGTCAGCCGATGGAATCGGGGATCGAGCAGTGCAGCGCTGGTCAGATTGTCGTTTGATATAACGTAGCTCTGCAGCACACCAGCTATGGTGCGCTTTATGTTCATCATCAGGGAATCGTCCTGCTCAACAATGCCAAGTTTCTTAATCAGTATCTTTGATGTTATGGGCGACAGCATGCTGCATAGCGGAATATCCTCGCCCCGCAATGTGTCCAATGCAATCTAGAGAACAGTTAAGCTTTTAAAAAGATATTCAGTTGTCGATTAAGTTGAGAGAGCCTACCACCAACGCGCTGAGCGCCTCTGTCACGATTTTGGCCGTCATCACTAGTTGATCCATGTCTTCGGACCACGAAATGGATTCGGTAAAGAACTTCAACATCTCATACAGGGTCCAAGGGAAATGCTCATTGTACGAGGGCAGCTCCGATACCTTCGAGCTAATCTCGGCCGAATGCCGCTGGATGATGTCCTTCACCTGCTCCAGAAGTGTGGCCACCTCCTCTATGTCAAACACTCGAAGCAAACATTTGTCAATAACCGAGACATAGCACAGTACAACGGGAATATCTGCAACACGATTGGGATTCATAAGTTAACTCTATATTTTACGGCATACGCATTCCGGACATACTCTTTTCCTTCAAGTAGCTGTACAGAAAGTCTTCTTCGTCGTCGTAATTGACGATTACAAGGGTGCAGTTGGTCAAGTAGAAGTCGGTAAGCAGATCGTCAAAGACGATGTAATCATTGTACTCCACTGTCGCATACAAGGCGCTGCGAACGGACTGGGTCTCCTCGTCGAGATAGTGGTGGTAGATGGTAAGGAAACGACGCTGCTCCACATTTATCCAACGCTCAAAGGCCAGCGAAAAGGGTTTCTCGGCACTGAACTCTCGTGTAATGTCTCCGATCTCCAAAAACTTGGAGGCATGCATCTCGCTCAGGAGAGAATCGACCTTCTCCATATCGGGCATGCACGCAGCGTTGCCCATGGCCTGCCGTACAAAATCGCTGAAACCCACATCGTAGAGCGTCTCCACATTGCGCACATCCTTTATGACTATGTCGGTCAAGGCCTCTGCCAAGTTGGCTATGTTTGGCGATGAGTAGCCGCCATCCTCGTGCTTAATGGGCCGACTGTGGTGCAGAGCACCCGGAGGGCGCCCAACTTTACCTACCCTTCGCTGAAACTTTGGCTCCAAACTAACCGTGCGCTCCTCCTCCTCGACCACATTATCAGATTCGTCGTAGGTGAACGGCACCATAGTTTCGTACAGTAGGGTCTGAGACGATGATTCCTCCTCGGCCTGCATGGCGGCGGTGGCTACGGCGGCCTCGTCCATTTCGTCGTCCGATGCATTGTCGTGATTGCGATTATTAATAAACTCTAGCTTCACGCGTCGTGTGGAGACGTTCCTCTTCGAGAGCGGCGGATGGGCGACGTTGCGCGGCGTTTTTCGCGGCGGCACTTGGATGTCGTGTTCCTGGCAGAGGTCCCTGAAAAGATCCTTGTGGCGATGCTGCAAGTGGGCCCGCAAGTTGGTCGTATTGCCGTGGTTGGTCAGCACCTTGTGGCACTTGATGCACACCACGTTCTGCTTGGTGATTACCTCGTTGTTGTCGTTGGAGGGAAAGCCAAAATAGCGCCAGTAGACGCTCTTCATTTTCGGCGAGTACAGTTTGGAAAAGTTGAGCTGCGAGACATCTTCATATTTGAGCTCATTAACTGCAGCGGGGGACGCGGCGACTTCGTCACTCATCTTGATTTCGGTTTTATTTATTTTGATTATGACTTCCAATGCGAGAAGCGCGCAATTTCTCGATTATAGATAGATAGTCAATAGTTTTTTATCTGTATCAGAAGTACAGTACAGAGTTGCCACGCGACACGGCAGCTACGGCAAATGCTTTACTTAAATGCTTAAAATGCACGAAACTTGCGGGAATTATTTTTGGTTTCTTTTAAAATCTATTTGCAGCTACAATGCCACTTTAATGCGACCAACACATTAATAACTCTGAATTTAATTGAAAACAGTGCTAAAACAGTGTTAACACTGATTGCATCACCAATCGATAGCTGGGGAAATTTAAGCCTCTGCTGGGAATTTTCGAAGGGAAATTTTCGTTCATTCCGCGACGTGAAGTTGGCTGCGATTTCCTTTTTAATTCGCTGTTGGGAAGAAAAGGTGCGTGAATTTTTGTTCGCCAATGGAAATAATAGAAAATGACACTAAAGTGGGCCTAAAACATTGGAATTGACTGTGTAAAATGTGCAGATACCATTTAGACATTATTTGCTCCATGGAAATGACAGCAAGGAGTGCTAAAGTGTGCCTCAAACAAATGGAATATGCCCAGCCACGTGGGCCAGGAAATGCAGTGCCGCTGCTTGGTTATGCCGCAGCGTTCGTTCACAAATCCATTCAATTAATGTTTACTTCTCTGTTGCAGCCAATCTAAACCGCCAAGATGGGTAAGGGAAATAATATGATTCCAAACCAGCACTACCACAAGTGGTGGCAGCGTCATGTGAAGACCTGGTTCAACCAGCCTGCGCGTAAACACCGCAGACACGAGAACCGCGTCAAGAAGGCCAAGGCTGTGTTCCCCCGCCCAGCCAGTGGTGCTCTGCGCCCCGTGGTCCGTTGCCCCACCATCCGCTACCACACAAAATTGCGTACCGGCCGTGGTTTCACCCTGGAGGAGCTGAAGGTGAGCTTATCACAAAAAATATATTTTCAAAATACACATCAAATTGTATTTTCTCGTATCCTCAGGGCGCTGGCGTCAGCGCTAAATTCGCCAAGACCATTGGCATTGCTGTTGACTTCCGTCGCAAGAACAAATCCCTGGAGTCGCGTCAGCGCAACATCCAGCGCCTCAAGGAGTACAGAAGCAAGCTGATTCTGTTCCCCATCAACGAGAAGAAGATCCGAAAGGGTGAATCTTCCGTGGAGGAATGCAAGCTGGCCACCCAGCTCAGGGGACCCATTATGCCCATCAAGGCCGAAAAGCCCGTGGTTGAGTTCCGTGAAGTTACCAAGGATGAGAAGAAGTTCAAGGCTTTCGCTACTCTGCGCAAGGTATGTTCTTTGACTTTTTGACAAACAGAAGTGCATATTTTACAAATTTAAACATCTTTCAGGCTCGTACTGATGCTCGTTTGGTTGGCATCCGCGCTAAGCGCGCTAAGGAGGCAGCTGAGAGCGAGGAGGGAGCCAAGGGCGATCCCAAGAAGGCCAAGAAGTAAGCTGCATCTGGCCCTGAGAGTTCTGTCTATAATAACAACCAGAATAAATTAAATAAAATTAGTTTTTTCTTAAACGTGAATTTACCTATCTATTCATTCATTCATGTGCCAATACTAGAGAAAAGATATCGATATTCCCAAGGCGAATGGTG